TTCTGGTGTTTAGCTGTGGGTGGAGGGCACAGGGACATCATTCATCCTCACTGCCGGCAGCCTGTCAAACGATATAAGGATTCATGCACACTGCTGCTCCTAAACGTGAGTTCAGGAGCTTTTAGCGTTTTTTTTTTTTTTTTTTTTGCCAAAGCCCCCAAACTCAGCTCAATAAAAAGCCTATGTGTCCATGTACACATAGGCTTTTACCAGAGTTTAGGGGCAGCAAAACGTTCCTCTACTGAACGCAGAAGAATCGCATTCAGGAGAGGAACGTTTTGGGCAAAAAAAGGAAAAACACTGCAAATTAATGCATGGCAAGTACTCTGGCCAATGAAATAAATAAACGTCCAAGCGCTAAACATGACTAAACATGGCAGAGCATTTACACATGTTTTTGCCACATGGTTTTTCTGCAGTAAAGTTAACCTCTATGGCAGTTCCAGTGTACATGAAGCCTAAGGGCTCATGTACATGGGGAGTTTGGAAAACTCTTCTGAATAATAGAAACTGACTGCTGGAAAACGCAGGTTAAAAAAATTTAGTTTAGCTTTGCATACCATGTTTATGTGCGTTTGCGTATAGAAGCGTTTTTAAAAGATAACCTCAGGAGACCTTCCCAAATGCCCAGAATGCACTGAAAAACAGTAAAACATTAACTATTTCAGACATTTTGAGAGAAATTGAGAGAGCAGAAGCAGAGAGATCAGTATGTGTTGAGATTTCCTGTCTTTTATGGTTGTATTCACTATGGATCCCATCATGAGCATAATGCGGCACGTTCTACCATTTTTTCCATCACGCAAAACCTGGAACTGACTGCGCTGGTGTGCTAGGTCCATTTGAGTACCTGGAAAATGCTCTGCGTGCATTTCTGATGATGAAAAAAGGCTCCGGACATGGAACAGTTAAACGCTTCTAAACGTAAACACGGTTAACCACGTTTACAAGCGTTTGGCATTTGAATGTCAGTAAAATCTACTCCTGAACGCAAGTTTGGTGCGTTCAAAAAAACGACTGTAAACGACTATGTGTACATGGACACATAGGAAAATATTAGGGAGAGTTCAGGGGCTGCTGAAAAAAACCGCAAAAAAGATCCTAAACGTGAATTTACCAGGTGCAGTGTACATAAACCCTAAAATTCTGACAGCTGCTGCAGATGGATGGAGCTGGAAGGTGCACCTAGTGGCATCAACAATGAGGGCAGAAGGTGCATACTACCCTAAAAGTTTGTATAGGTAGGTGCACCGTCTTGCTGCAGCAGCTATCAGTCTCATAGAGTTGGACAGGCTGCCTGTGAGAGTTTGGACAGGACACTTGTGCCCTCCACCCACAGCTTACAGTTGTCTGAACAGCATATAACCTGTACAGACTTTACTGGCTGACCAGTTATGATTTCCTTAGATGTTTGCGATTCTTACTTTTTTGCTTGTAAAGATACAGTACTCCTCCTAGATTGTAAGCTCTAACGTGCAAGGCCCTCTGCTTCCTCTTGTACCAAATTGTAGTGTAGCTGTAATGTCTACCTTCATTTTGTAAAGCGCTGCGCAAACTGTTGGCGCTATATAAATCCTGTGTAATGATGATAATAATAATACAGTACCTCCTTATACAGTTGTGTTCAAAATAATAGTGTGGTGAAAAAAGTGAATAAAGCTCAAAATCCTTCTAATAGCTTTTATTTCCATACACACAAATGCATTGGGAACACTACACATTCTATTCCAAATCAAAACGTGAAGAAAAATATATCACATTTGTGTTGTTCCTCTAAAAAAAAATTGAAGAAAAGCGAATATTAGACTATTCAAAAAAATAGCAGTGTTTGTATTCTTCTTTACAAACTCAAACATTCACTATATAAACTGAAAAATGTTTGAAGATTTTGCTTTCCTTTGAATCACTTAATGAATATTTAGTTGTATAAGCACTGTTTCTGAGAACTGCTGTACATCTGTGTTGCATGGAGTCAACCAACTTCTGGCACCTGTGAACAGGTATTCCAGCCCAGGATGATTGGACTACATTCCACAGTTCTTCTCTCTTTCTTGGTTTTGCCTCAGAAACTGCATTTTTGATGTCACCCCACAAGCTTTCTATTGGATTAAGATCCGGGGATTGGGCTGGCCACTCCATAACGTCAATCTTGTTGGTCTGGAACCAAGATGTTGCACGATTACTGGTGTGTTTGGGGTCGTTGTCTTGTTGGAACACCCATTTCAAGGGCATTTCCTCTTCAGCATAAGGCAGCATAACCTCTTCAAGTATTCTGATGTATTCAGACTGATCCATGATCCCTGGTATGCGATAAATAGGCCCAACACCGTAGTATGAGAAACATCCCCATATCATGATGCTTGCGCAACCATGCTTCACTGTATTCACAGTGTACTGTGGCTTGAATTCAGTGTTTGGGGGTCGTCTGACAAACTGTCTCCGGCCACTAGACCCAAAAAGAACAATCTTACTTTCATCAGTCCACAAAATGTTGCGCCATTTCTCTTTAGGCCAGTCAATGTGCTCTTTGGCAAATGGTAATCTCTTCAGCGCGTCTTTTTTTTTTTGTCAACAGTGGGTCTTTGCGGGGGCTTCTTGCAGATAGCTTGGCTTCACATAGGCGTCTTCTAATTGTAACAGTACTCACAGGTAACTTTAGACCTTCTTTGATCTTCCTGGAGCTGATTGTTGGCTGAGTCCTTGCCATTTTGGCTATTCTTCTATCCATTTGAATGGTAGTTTTTCGCTTTCTTCCATGTCTTTCAGGTTTTGGTTGCCATTTTAACCATTTGCCGCCCACCCTATGGCCGAATGGCGGCCGGCAAATGTCATCAGCGTTCCGGGTGGACGCCATATGGCATCCTCCCGCACATGCACAGAGCGCGCTCCTGCAGAGCCGTGCAGCGGCGCGATCTGTCACCGGCCGTGTACCTCGGACACGGCCGATGACAGATCTGAATATCGGCCCCCGTTGCCGGTACCATGTGACCTGCTGTGACCAATCACAGCAGGTCACATGACAGTTGTATACAATGGATGGCTTCATTCATGCCATCCATTGTATACTAGAGTCTAGCTGTGAATGGTCACAGCTAATCACATGCACGTATCATGTGATTAGCTGTGGCCAAATCACAGCTAAGCACAAAAAAAAAAAAAAAAAAAAAAAAACACAAACCCTGAATGAATCGATGCCATTCAGGTAAGTGCTTGCTTGTAGCAAAGTAATTCTTTGCTATAAGCAAATTGTGTAAAAAAAAAAAACAAAAAAAAAAAACAAAACACAATGTTACTAATGGTAATGTACTACTTTTGGACATAGTGAAAAAATCTTAAAAAAAGAAAAATAAATTAATAAAAGAAGAAAAAAAAAAAATGTTTTTTGTTTTCCTACTGTTACCAGTCAGTGCCCCTGATCACCGACCATGCCAGTTATATGATGATGCTGTACTGCACTGGTGACCATATGTAAAAAAAAAAAAAAAATAGTGAAACTCATTTTTTTAATTTTCTGAAAAATTATGACAAAAAAAATACAACTTCAAAAAACTCGCCATGCCTCTTATGAAGTACGTCGGACCGTCTACTTTGCAAAAAGGGGTCATTTGGGGGATATCTGTACTGTTCTGACATTCTTGGACCTCAAGAAATTAGATTGGCTGTCAGTACTTCAGGATTGATCAATATTCAGATCTATACCATAGTTTGTGAACTCTATAACTTTCCTACAAACTAAAAAATACATCCTAATTTGGGTTATTTTCACCAAAGGCATATAGCAGAATACATCTTGGCCTAAATTTATGAAGAACAATTATTTATTTGCAAACTTTTATAACGGAAACAAAGAAAAACGTGTTTTTTTTCAAACATTTTGGTCTTTTTTTTTGTTAATTTAGCAAAAAATAAAAACCCCAGTGGTGATTAAATACCACCAAAAGAAAGCTCTAGTTGTGTGAAGAAAATGATAAAATTTTAGTTTGGGTACAATGTTGTATGACCGCGCAATTGTCATTCAAAGTGTGAGAGCGCTGAAAACTGGCCTGGGCAGGAAGGTGTAAAATTGCCCGGTATTGAATTGGTTAAAGCATTTGCGATCATTTTTATCTGAGCAGCCTATAATTTTCTGCACTTCTTTATATGTTTTCCCCTCTCCAATCAACTTTTTAATAAAGGCACGCTGTTCTTCTGAACAATGTCTGGAACTACCCATTTTCCTCAAAATCTCAAAGAGAAATGCACTGTAACCAGCATGTACAACATTTGCTGCCTTCCTTCCTTAAATAAGGGCAATACTTGCCACCTGTTTTTCAAAGAATGAATGACCTCACTAATAGAACTCCACTCTGCTATTATTTTGAACATGCCCCTTTCAATTAGTGATTCAATTACACAGAATCAGCAGCATGCATGTCATGACTGTTGGGTCTGTTGGATTTCTATTACTCTACTATACCTGCTAGTAAATTATTTGCCATGTAGAAATATCATTTCTACCAAAAACAGTGATTGATCAGGTTAGTGATGTCTGACTGCTATTATTTTGAACACAACTGTATGTACATTGTGATATTTGTGCAACTGAGGTCTTTTCCTCATAATACCAACTTCTATTTTTCTTTAAAGCATGCTTTTTTAAAGAAAATGGGAAAGCAACTGACTTCTTTATTTCAAATGAAAAACATTAGTCATACATGATCCACTTTTTAATAATGAACCCAGTAATTCTTATGATCAATTAGGCATGCAAGTCTCAAATGCACATTTTGTTCCTCACAGAAAAGAAAAAAATCTTTCCTTTTTCCAAAGTAAGATGCCATCTGTGGTCTGCATCACTAGAAATGTTTGGGTGCTCCCAGAGTCTTGGCAGTTACAAGGACTGTCAAATTTTTTTATTTTTTTTTTTTTAATACCCATGAAGATCTGTCCTTTTTATGACTAGCTAAGCAAATTCTGTGCTTTTCAATTAATTATCCCCTATCATTGAATTCATCTCCTAGGTTTCTGGGCACGAGAGGTCGGAAAGTTGATAGGCCTGGAACATCCTCTTATTCCTGTGCACCATCAGTATGTGGTCACTGGTTCTGTCCCAGAGGTTAAAGCTTTAAAGAAGGAAATACCAGTCCTCCGAGACTTGGAGGGATCATATTATTTACGACAGGAAAGGGATGGACTTTTGTTTGGACCATATGAAAGTCAAGAAAAAATGAAAATGCAAGATTCCTGGGTAACAAATGGAGTACCACCAGGTAATACTTTTTTCGTAAAGTGTTACTAAACCCACAACAGTAAAGTCTGTCTGTATATACAGTAAAACATGCTTGTTATACTCACTGCGGAACCTAAGTGGGTTAATCCTATCCATTGTGTAAAAAGGCTGTTTGATCCTGTATTCTCTGATCCTCCGCTTCTTCCACAGTCCCCAGTCCATCTGCTGATAGAGCTTTGGGGGTATTCTGCACATGCTCGGTTTGGTATGTATTGCTAGAGAGGTGTTTTTTCTTTTTTTTTTTGGAAGTGTGCATGTGATCAGCACAGTACCAATCAGCGCTGTCCAAACAGAAGGTTAGGGGTCCTGCAGCCTCATAGGACAATCAGGGAAGAGAATGAAAACTCTTCCCACAAGCTTTGACATGTACTCTGCTGGACACTGATAGAAGTCACAAAACTGCTTAACTGCTGATAAGAAAAGGTATTTAGCAGTATATTTTTTTTCTAAAATAATTGCATTTCCATGTTCTGTGTACTATGGGAGACTGGATATAGTGAATGCAGGGTCCTGGATTTAGTAACACTTAAAGTTGACTTTTTAAAATAAAACTCTAGTCAGACTGTGGACAGTAAAGCATTTATATATTCCTAACAAGCAGTAAATCTGTAAAACAAGCCCTCAATGACCTTTGTAGCTACAGACACTGTGGGGCTATTTATTCTTAAAATCCACAGCACTAGCACTGAGTCCTTATCTATCAGCAGCAGGGGTTCGGTTTAAAGTGAACCTGTGCTTTTGCCTATAGGTTCACTTTAATGCCAGCCTCACCAGATTTGCATACTTTTTCTCCCTTCACTTCCCTGACACTCTATTCACAGGAAGTGAGGGAGAGTTAACTGTGTAAGTCACAACTTGGAGCCTAAACAGGCTGATGACCCTTCCTCTGTTCTTGGCCAATTGCTGTGCACCAACACTATAAAATTGGAAGGAAGGGGCATGGGTCACACACCCTCAAGACCCTGGAGTACAGGTTACTTTTCTTTGCTCCCAGCAGCCAATTGGAGAATCAGGGGAACAAAGGGAAGTTATAGGTTGCTGGTGGGGCTGCCTATAAAGCAATCCTGTTTTAACAAACATTATAACTGTTAACCTTTATTTTATTAATAATGTTCGCAATAGCCAAGGTTAGCCTGTAACTAATACTCTTTCTGTAGGTTTTGGGAAAGAATTGTTTGAATCTGATCTAGACAGAATTATGGAACATGTAGAAGCTGCAATGGAGATGGTTCCTGTGCTGAAAAATGCTGATATTATCAATATAGTTTCTGGACCCATAACATACTCTCCAGATATCCTTCCAATGGTAGGACCACATCAAGGTGTCCGAAATTACTGGGTTGCTGTTGGCTTTGGGTAAGTGAATGTAGCATTTTGGTTTGATGTGAAGACTCTTGAGAAATTATCTCTGCTGGTTCATGTTGATTCATATTAGTACATACTGCCCTCCCCCCCATGTATAATCACCCTAGTACAGTGCAGGAGCATCTTCTCATGCAATTTGGGATCCTTGGTGTTCCCAGAATCTTGAAGGAGGAATTGTGGTGTGAACCTTGCCTAGGAGCGATGAACAGAAGCTTTGTGTAAGGGAGGTATATCTTTTAACTTTTCTATACATACTTTTTTTTTTTTGTCCAACTGTAATGCAGTGATCATACATGCAGTGGTGGGCCAGCATTTGTGTGCAAGGTCTGCTTTAAGTGTGGAGAGGTCCTTTTTAAGCCAAGCTTACATTGTCACTGGTTTTGGTGAATTCTCTATGAATTTCGCTGAAGAATGCACTGAAGGGCAGGTAACACAACACTGTACCACGCAACCCCTCGTGGCAAATTTGACTGACTGGCTGTTAGAAACACTCTGGTCTGTCCTGGCTGTGCTGCGGGTGGGAGGAAGACTTTAAAAACTGATTAAACCCTCCTCTCCTCATCCAATTCAGGACATTTTTGGTAGAGCTTAGCTTTTGTATTAGAAATGTGTTTAATCTCCTCCCTTTTTTTTCTTTCTATCTCTACTCTGTTGTTTATGATTGTGATTGGGATATGTTCTTTTTAAATATTTACTTAGAAAAGCTGCTCAGTGCTTTTGATATCATTAAATTTTTTTTCTATTGTTAGGTATGGTATCATCCATGCTGGAGGCATTGGTAAGTTCTTAAGTGACTGGATCCTAGACGGAGAACCTCCTTTCGATCTCATTGAAGTAGACCCAAACAGATATGGCAGATGGACCACTACACGGTATACAGCACTGAAAGCAAGAGAATCTTATGGATTCAACAACATTGGTACAACTTCTTTCTATGGATAAAAATAGGTGTGACTAAAGAATGCTTGTTCTTCTGGTGTCTAAAAGCCATAGGTCAGCAAAGTGTTGTTTTAACCCCTTTTTTTTTTTTTTTTTTTTTCGTTTACCCTGCAACCAGCAAAATGTTGTTGTTCTTAGCTTCATATTAAAAAGTCTTCCCTTCTGAACCATAGTCCCACCCTTACAATGCAAAGAGGCTACAACTGCATTGACTGGGAATCGAATCTAGGCCTCCTGTGCCAGGCAAGAATTCTACTGAACCACAATCTGGCATAGATTTTTATTAAAGTGACTTTAAAGACAATTTTTCCAGAGAGGAATATGGAGGCCACCATTACTTATGTTCATCTGACCTCTGGCCACTAAAATTTTATGCTGTTACTTCAACTCCAATAACAATTTGAATATCCTCCAAGATACTGACCTGGAAAAAGCATGCACTTAGTGAAGTTAGAGTAAAATCAGAACTTCTGATTGACATTCTTCTTTTTATGCTGTGCCTCAGAATGTTGTGAAGGCTTTTGATCAGCATAACAATCAGGAAACAAGCATTTTTAAAAAGAGATTTCTTCAGTGGCAGCCCCTCCTCATTTTCTTGGTATAGGTTTTCTGTAAATAATATTTTTTTTTCTCCTGATTCCGTTTTTGTAATGAATTTTTAAAGGAAATACAGATCAATAGTATCACAGGGGTTGTATCGAATTGTACAAAAATATGCAGAGCAGTCTAAAGAATAGTGCAGTATGCTCCAGGGCTATGACACATTAGAGAGGGTAGTTAAAAACAATGCATAAACTTTAATGCTGGGGAGGTAACCCATGTTCCCTGACCCACATGCCATCTTAAATGTAAATAGTAGGGGCCCATGGTGGAAAAGAGTTAAGGAAGAGGGGATGGGGAAGAGGTAATTATAGAAACAAATAGTAGGAAAGAGGAAGAAGAAGAGAAAGGAGATCCAACAGCCCTCAAGGTCCAGGAACATATGACAAAACAAAACAATCGTAGGCAACTGAGGGTAGATAGATTGAATGTAGGAAGGCAACATCCAAGCCAGTGTTTCCAGACTTTTAAGAATTTGTTTTTAGCCAGTGAGGATACTAGAATTTCTCATTGACAAGCAGCACATTCATATTAATATTTTAAACTTTAGCAAGACCACCATAGGTTTCTTCCAACTTCCAGCAATGATCTATTTATTTAGTCTGTTAGGGAAGGAAGGTGGCAAGCTTTTGCTGGGGGTTAGTGAGGCTTGGCATAGGGAGGTGGAGAACAGCTATTCTAGGGTAACCTTTGGATGACAGTAACATGAAACAGAATTTGGATAAAACTAAAAATTCTGGATCAAAAATATATTCTGTTTGAAGAGTGATTTAGTATAGGAGAATTCCAAGATCTAAGCAAGGGAGGAAATCCAGTGTTCAATCTGTAGATATCTGGGAACGATCACGGTGTTCCTGCAAGTCCAAACACAAAATAAAGGGCCAGGAGGTAAGAAAGTGATGGACATGAGAAAAACAGTGGGAAGGACCTAGGATCATTCATCTTTGGCTGGAAGAGGGGGTTATTAGCCAGAGAATCTAGAGTTGATAGAGTATCGTAGCAAATCTCATACTTTCAAGCTATGAAGCCTCAGAGGCCGAGAGAAGGTGGACAAGCTAAATGGAGGAGCCCAAGTATAGCTGTGATTGAGATTTGATCAGCGTTTAGAATCTCTAGAACAGGGTTTCTCAACCAGACATCCTCCAGAGGTTGTTAGGGGTTCCTCGAGCAATAAGTGATATCTGCCTCTCAGTCAAGTAACCACTGACACCAATGATCATTTTAGCTATTCTGTAAGAGCTGAATTCTTCCCAATGACTACAAAAGTTAGAATTCTTTACACTAACTATCTCACTAATGTAATAATTAACAGAAGTTCCCTGAAGCCAAAAAGTTATTTCAAGGGTTCCCCCATGTTAAAGGGTTTGAGAAAGGCTGCTGTAGAAAATCCCAAAGGGAAGTATCGCTAGTTGCACTTAGCAAAGTAAGTTGGAAAATCTGGATAGCTTGGTAGCATTTCTCTATTTATGTAAAGAGAGAATTGTGTAACACTTGATCATTTATGAGCCCAGATAGATGTAAGGATGTGTCTCTGAAATATTCAAAAGTAGTTCGGTGGAGCTCATATGCTCTGAAGTAGTGTAAGATCTTAGGCAGGAGAGTCATTTTCACTACGCTAATGTGGCCTATACAGGAAAAGAAAGTAAAGTCCCAATTCCACAGGACAGAATATAGGGATCTGAGTAGGAAGGCATAATATATGGTGAGCTTGAGTCCTAAATAGTCTAATGATGAAGTTGCCCAGGCAAAGGCAAAGTGTGATTGGATATGAGATACTCCCAAACGAAGAGTAATGGTTAGAACAGTGTATTTGGCCTAATTAATCCTGAAACCTGAGAGCTGGGCAAATTGGTCCACAAAGCATCAAAACTGGGGATGGGAATGTTGGGTTTGGTAAGGGTTAGGAGGGAGTTTTCTAAATACAAGCTGATTCTGAAGTTAAGGCCTGTGAAAACGACCCTGGAAATGTCCCAATTCCCCCTAATGGCAATCACCAGGGACTCAAGGGTCAGAATAAACACAAATAGGGTAAGGGGGCTGCCTTGCCTCCTGCCATGGAGGATTAAAAAGGATTGAGAAAGGTAGCTTGCATACTGCATCTTGGTCAAGGGTCTGGAATACAAAGCTTGTTTCACAGGTGAGCAGGCAATTCCCAATTCTTGACCTAAAAAGTTTATAAATTATATAATCTCCTAACATGGAATTAAATGCTTTGCTGATGTCAAGACAGAGGAGGAACCCAGTAACCCTGCATTGGTGTAACAGGTGGGTAAGGTGATCCACATTTCAGAGATTATCACTAGCTTGGCACCTGGGAACAAATCCTGCCTCTTCTCTCTGAGTATGAGGGACTATAGATGTTTAATCCTATTTCCCAATAATTTCCCAACACTTTCAGGTCCACATAGAGTAAAGAAATGGAATAAAAGCCCTAAGTGACCGAAGCTTCCTCAGCCTTTATGGAAATCATTGTAAAGCAGGCTTGGAGAGAAATAGAGGAAGAGGCGGACCCCAGTTTTTTTTATTCTTCCTTTTTTAAATAGGTTATGTGAAATTAAATATGAATATTTGAATTTAGTTGGTTATCCCAAAGAAGAGAGATTTGCAGGAAGACCAACAGAAAGGATGAGTGGAATATATGAAGAGCTGAAGACAAAATGTTCCATGGGCTTCCATGCGGGATGGGAACAGCCTCACTGGTTTTACAAGCCTGGAGATGATACTGGATACAAGTAAGTGTCCATCTTTCGAGGCATCGCAAAGATTAGGAAACTCTGTCCAGAAAAATAAAAAATATAGATAAGTGAGTAAATAATTGCTGCTGCTTTGTAAAACTGTCATGCACATGTCTGAGCAAAATAAAAATTGCTATGTTAATTTCAGATTGCATCATATATGTAATGTTTGGTTTTGCCCATTTACTATCTATTGCCAACTGCCAGCAGTAGTGCATTTATCTTTTCTTATTACCATGGGGTAGTAAACAAAATGGGATCGCAGAAATGTATTCAGGAAGCAGTGCAAGGATGATAACACAAAGAGGGTTATTTACTAAAACTGCATGGTGCCACATCTAGTGCAGCTCTGCACAAAAACCAATCGGTTTTCAGGTTCTATTGTCAAAGCTTAATTAAACAAACTGACGCTAGAAGCTGATTGGCTACCATGCACAGCTGCACCAGGTTCTTTTTATGTTCACTCCTATTCACCACTGTCACTGAGACAGCCAAATCAGGAGAATTTCCCAAATCGAAATCGGGACTTCACTCTTCCTTTGTCTGAAGTTATACTTTTATGATGACATCTGTTTATTTGACATTACTATTTTATATCCATTTATTTTCTCATAGACCAAGCTTCCGGAGGACAAATTGGTTTGAGCCGGTGAAACGGGAGTATAAACAGGTCATGGAGAAGGTGGGGGTGATTGACCTGACTCCATTTGGCAAGTTTACTGTGAAAGGAAAGGATGCTGTTCATTTACTGGACCATATTTTTGCCAATATCATTCCAAAGGTATGTGGGTTTGTGATTTTGTTGGCTAGTGAGGAAGAGCAACATTCATTGATGATGCGCAAAGTGTGGTAGCCTGTAGTAATCAATATTATTTTAATTTTATTGATGCCAAAACTTGAATTCTTGACTACATTTGAATTTTTAAAGGCTGCTATTGATGGTCACTGACAGTTACACTATACTTTCTCTTCAGAGCAATGGGCATTTCTAGAGGGTTCATCTTTTTGCATCATTTGTTGTAAATTTTGATATTACTTTCACATTTCTAAATGATTGCCCTTCTATATTTTTGTTATGGCACTCAATATAGAGATTTGCAGTGAGAGCTCTGTATTTGATTCAGTCTTATTTAACTTCCATGTTTAGCAGCTGTTTATGATAAGATATTGGCCCCACAAGGAGTGTATTGCTTTCAAGGACATGTCTGAATAGACGACTTGCTACATGAGAGTAAAGCAAAACCACTGTGTGGCATAGCAAAGCAGGAAACGTTATACAGTTAAGAAAAATATTTTCAAAATTGTAATGTATTTTGGTCAAGAAAAAAAGTCATTCGGAGATAAAAGATAGCTTACACACTGCAAACCCACTGAGGTTCATTTACTATAGCAGTAGAGGTGGATCAGAGTGATTCTGATTGGTCAGTGCTGGCACAGACCATCGGTCTGATCTGTCCACAAAGCACTACAGAAAACAGAGAGAAGAGTAGGGATTTCAAATCCCCAGACTGCTATGCCGTTTGCGTTGGGCACTGAGGACTCCTCTCCCAAAGAGGTAAGTACAGCGAGGACCAAGGAGGTGGGGAGGGTGTGACTGTGAAGCTACACTTTGTGAGCTTTTTATTGCCGTCTGCCGTCATGTATGACATTATATGACTGCATTCTGATGTGAATAGGCCCTAAGTACACCAACATTAATTTATATTTTTCTGAAGTCATGAAGCCATCCATTCATCTGTCTCTTAGGTTTTAGCAATATTCATTTTTTGTTGTATGACAGAGAAGACTATGATCAGCAAGGGGTTTCTACAGTCAAACTCTAAAGCTGGCTATATACTGTACGTTCCTGAGAAGCGGGTTGGAATTCATTCAGTGAGTGGCCCTGCTGGTCACGCTCTATTCGTCAAAAGTTCAATCAACTTTTTTTGTAGGAGCCTGCTGGGAAATATGTGGCCAAACAGTGACTGCACGAAATCCGATGCAGACACTGTTTGGGTATTTTGAAATCTCCCACTGTGGGAGGCTGGGACAGCTGTCAAACTGCAATAGCCACAGCAAGAGAAGAGGGAAAAAACTTATCAGTGTATGGGCTATTTAACAAATGTATTGCTGTACGTGGCCACCCAACAATTTAGAGGTTACATGTGACCAATAGGATCAGGTATTTGTTATGATGAGTGATAACTGCAATCCTGTAGGATACAGTAATCTTTATTTTTTTTCTTATTTTTTATCTCTTAAGATGGCTTTATGCATAATTTCTTTTTTTTTTTTTTTCCTGCATTGGTGATTGGCAATCATTAAAGGTAGAACTTTTACTTGGGATGCTGATGACTAGTATGTTGATATGTGTTCATGTATTATTTGGTTAAAGGAATTGGTACTTTGTGTTTTTACAGGTGGGCTTTACCAACATAAGCCACATGCTGACTCCTAGAGGACGAGTCTATGCTGAGCTCACTGTGTCCCATTTGTCTCCTGGAGAGTTCCTGTTGATCACTGGCTCTGGTTCTGAACTGCATGATCTCAGGTATGTCCAGCATTTCTATTCCAAGCATTTTATTTTTTTGGGTAGTTAACATTTGGCATGAGCTTACCTGTCATAAAGACCCTTTCTACACTACTGTAACTGAAGTTCTGAGTTCATTTTAGGCATCTTAACAGAACCAGGGCTTCCGGTGACTGTAAAAATGTGGACTAAGGAGTATGTAGCCTGTTATTGGCAATATAATGTTATTTGACCTAAAAATAAATTATGTGATTTAGCAATACTTGTTTTTGCATTCCAAAAAATATTGCCCCAAACATAATGGATTGATTTACTGTAAAATTTGACTGCTGCAGGATTTGTACATGTAGCACTCACCCCCGAAGGAGCCACTGGTACTGTATATTGCCCAGGTTTTTTGCAAGTGGTGCATAGACAGCCAGGCACACAGCAACGGCCTCTCCAATTGGCTCAGTTAATAGTCTAGGGGTATCTTTTTTTTTTTTTTTTTTTTTTTTTTTTTTTTTGGCTAACTTGGACAGGGATAGGGAACTGTATGGGATACTCCAAAACTAGTTACAAACTTGGAGAACACTCTTCACTATAGGGGAACTTCAGAAAAATATATCTTCTGCCAAGGAACTGTTCTCTGTTAACAACAGGCCCAAAATCCCCGACCAGATCTGTAATTACAAATGTCCTTTTTAGGTAATTTTAAGCCTCCTTCTAGTACCACAGATATATTCCAGTGAGAGAAAGGTTAACCAGACTCATAACACTCTCCAGAACTCCTTTGATGGGATGATTGAGCATAGATCCAAGTAACTCCAAAGCAGGACTGAAGTTTAGCCTCCCAGCTAGCCCTAGCTGGTATCTCAATGAACAGTGGTTTGAGGTGAGGAGTAGCCACCCCCCACCTGAACAGGTGCAATCCCTTGCAGGAAGACACTGATGTTCTGCCCCTCAAACTATTTATACACCTTCCTAGCAACCATATGTGCAGTCTTTCACAGGGTTTGGCTGAGACAGTATAAATACTCATGTGGTCCATTTGCCTAGCTCCACACCTAGGTCCCAGGACAACCAAAAGAGTTCTGGAATGCAGAGAAGAGCAATCAAACCTGCAACTGGTGAAATACAGAACAGACCAAAATAACCACATGCAGCTCAACTGATTACAGTGGAACTAAGAGCTAAATTGATCTAACCTAGCACAAATCTAGGAGGGTGCTACATCCATTTTCTGGACTCATACTTGCTGGTGTTTTACACGCGCATTTCCAAAAGGGGCTCCATTATTGCTCTGATAACTGGGCTCAGCGGTGGGTACAAACGGCCAATACACAGAACAACCTCCAGTAATCACATGGAAGTCCATGATGAGATAAACTTTGTGTGCGTATATAGCAGATAATCATTTTAAACCGATGAGTTGTTTTGTTGCAGAAAGATGCTGCTCGAATGTACATGTAGTTTCACAGGACAAATAGCTCTGCAAATTTTTTATAAATATACTCCTAACAATAGTGTCTAACTATACTTGGATTGCTATACATTGCAACTCTTCGAAGGTTGTGACCTTTGCCACTGCTAAGTAAAGATGGTCCTGGACTGTATGTATTATTATGGAACTTCAGTCCCCATGAGTTTTAGTGCCGCAAACTTTTTTTTTTTTATTGGTGGCATGTGCCTTGTGGCACACCTGCGTTAATTGGGAAGGGGGTTGTCTTTGGGCATGCATAGATACACTGAGTATTGGAATTTTCCATACTGGTCTAGTGCATAGATTTGCCACAGGGCTGTGCCGGAACCCAAAGCCCTGCAACATGCGCAGAACTGGTGGGGAGACATCTTTCTTTACTTTACTAGATGAGAAAGAAAAGTGCTTCACTGCAGCACATAATTAAGATAAAAAGAATATCCAAATGTGAGTGAAGGAGGGAGAGAAGGCAGGGGAAAATAAGTTGTTTTTTTTTTTTTTTTTTTTTTTTTTTTTTGGGGGTGAAGCAAACTAATATTCTTTCATTCATATGTACAAGGCAGTTGCTGTTTTTACTCCTCACTTGTGCCCTCCCCTGCCCCTCTCCATCAGCACTGGGGTCACATTAGCAGAGTGAGGGAGAGAAAATGAGAGAGACACACTGGAATTATTATTATTACTACGAGTTTATATAGCGCCAAAGGGTTTGCTCAGCGCTGTACAATAGGAATACGAATAGATACCAGTGTTCAAAGGTGTATTTGCTTTGGAAGAATAAACTTCTAACGTTGGGTGTACATTTTAGATTGGGGTGCCTTGAGATTATCCAAAATTTTAAAGAGTGCCTTGACTAAAAAAAGGTTGAGAAACACTGCCATAAGAAGACCGATTTGGCTGTCCTGCCTATTGTCTCTGTGGACAACCCTGTTTAAAGTGCTCATGATGTTGAGATGCTTCTGATTCTGTACAAAAAATATTAGCGTTTAGTGAAATACATTTTAAACAAAAAGTGCTGATACCCAAAAAAAAGTTGAATAAAAACTTACTTATAACCTCCTAGATTGTAAGCTCCAAGGAGCAGGGCCCTCCTTTCCCTCTTGTATTGAACTGTATTGTTGCTGTATCGTCTCCCGTTATATTGTAAAGCGCTGAGCAAACTGTTGGCGCTATAAAAATCCTGTATAATAATAATAATACTATATGCCACTAACTTGTTTACAGATGGATAGAAGAGGTGGCAGCTGAAGGCCAGTACAATGTGGACATCACCAATGTGACAGATGACGTTGGAGTTCTAGGTGTGGCAGGACCACTTTCTAGAAAGGTTCTCCAGAAGTTGACTTTGGATGATTTGAGTGAAGAATCCTTTACATTTCTACACAGCAGAAGAATGAAGATTGGTGGAATTCCTGTAACAGCCATACGGATATCCTATACAGGTGAGGATGAGATATTCAACAAGCAATGGGCACCAGGTTTCCAGTAATGGTGAATATAATGCTGTGTGCTCCTAGGTGAGCTGGGCTGGGAGTTGTATCACAGGAGGCAGGACACCTCTGCGCTCTATAGTAAGATTATGGAGGCCGGTCAGGACGAAAGCATTGATAACTTTGGCACTTACGCCATGAATGCACTGAGGTTGGAGAAAGCATTTCGAGCCTGGGGGTCAGAGGTAAGCGCAACTCTGAGTAGTATACTCTGTTGTTTCTTTTTGTTCTCTTGTATTCTATTACTTGTTATCCACATGAGTACACCACAGTTTTGTGTCAACTTTTATTCATAATGTTGGCCATGTAATTGGGGACTGGACAAATCTGAGTTGCTTGGTAGTTCAAGAAGAGTTGAAAACACATCTGTTCTTTTTATTTTCAATAGAAAAAGGGAGGGCTATGACTCCGGTTAGTTTTTCCCATCTTCTGTCAGTTTTTCCCATCTGTGTCCCGTTGTGAAGATTTTCCTTCATTTCCTGTCCTGTAGCTACAATTTTTCATAGGTACAGCAGCTCATTCAAATGAATAGGCTGCTGTGCCTGTACAAACGTGGTCACAAGGAAACCACATAAGTGTGAACCTAGACTTATACAATTTCCCATTGGCTTCATTTGCGAGGTCGCAGCTGCCTATTCTTTTGAATGAGCTGCTGTACCTATGGAAAATGTAGGGAAAAGGTCCCTTCGCCTTTACCAAAATCTTAGCTGCAGGGCAACCTGCATAGTGTTTCAGAGCATGGTAGAATGCGCTCTACTTTCCAGTGTGTGGGGGTGCCATTAAGAGTTAACGTCACCCCCACATGTCTGCTAACAGCAGTGCGTTTTTGATGGGGTGTGAGAAAGCATGCAATTACACACAGTCCCGCACCCGTATATAGTGTGAACCTAATTTAACTCTCTCCAGCATCTAACAAAAACTTAATAAAATACATTTTGTGTGTATATGTTTTGCTTTGTATTGTTGCAATTTTACAAAATATCAGTGAGTTGTACTAATCGTACATATTATATTTTGATCAGATGAACTGTGACACAAACCCACTTGAGGCCGGGTTACAATATTTTATAAAGTTAAACAAGGTAAGTAAAAAAAAAAAAAAACTTTTTGTGCAATTTACATATTAAAAAAATATGCTGGTTGCAGCGTGTCTAGATAGAAGTATCATCATGTGTACCACACTGCCACCTTGTGGCTGCTTCATTAAGACTGAAGAAAAGAACAAGAACCACACACAGAGCTGTATTTACTAAATCTACTTTCACATTGAGGAGTTTTTGAAGCGCTTTTGCGTTAAAAAAAGAGCCTGAAAATCTCAAGAAAAATGCTTCCCTATGTATGTGCATGTATATCTATGTATGTTTTCACACTGAGGCGTTGCACTTGCGGTGTAAAAATTCCTGCTTGTAGCATCTTTAGGGCATGTTTGGGGAGTTAAGAAAAAGGCCTCTTTCCGTTGAAATCAATGAAAAACACTTGAAAAGCGCCTCAAAACCGCCTCTGAGAAGTGGTGTTGGTGCAGTTTTTAAGTCACATGTCCTTTTAAAAATGCTCAGCGCGGCAAAAGCGCCTACGTGTTTTTACAGCGGATCAGTGTGAAAGTAGCCTTAGCCCCCGGTCACATCCAAGCTGATTTTGAAATCGTGTGACTTCACTGTAAGTCACACGATTTAAAAATCGGCTTTGACATCTGACATCGATGTCTATGTAAATCGCAATTAAAGTAGTGCATGCATGACTTTAAAAATTGGTGCAGCTCCAACAAAGTTGGAACAGCACCAATATGACTGCTCTAATAGCGGACAATATGGTGTGACTTGGCATATGATTTGCAAGTCACAGGGCATGCAAAATGCGATGTGACCGGGGGTGTAAAGCTGGATCACTCAGAATCTGGTGCACCTGTGCATGGTAGCCAATCGGCTTCTAACCTCAGCTTGTTCAATTAGGCTTTAGCAATAAAACCTGGAAGCTGATTGATTTCTATGCAGAAGTGCATGAAATTCTGAGCAAAACAGCTTTAGTAAATAAACCCCACAGTGTGTCTGCCCATAGTGACCATCCAGAAATGTAAACATTTTTTTAAACATAAAAAGGGGTAAAATGGTTGCTACCGACAATTCCCTTACTCATTGTTTACGGTGTTGATTCCTGCCTTTTTCTTACAACACAAGATGAAGAGAGATGGTAAAACTTGTGAATGGGTAAAGAATTAATGAATCCGCATGTAAGAGGGGCTTTGTGATTGGCTCAATTAAGCGCCAAAGCACAAGTCCCTACCTCAGCTCCTGTCCTGCTAGAACACCGTCCCTCCTGCTGAGGCCGAACCCTCTGCCATCTCGCCCCACTGCTTGCCAAAGGCCTCCACTATACATTCCTAGCCGTTGACCCAAAGGAAGGAATGTCCACACATAAAAGTAGTGTTGCTGCACTTTACTGGTAGTATTCCGGAAACGGCATTACAGTAAATTCTGATGTCACTTGACATTATACAGTCAATAACATTTACTGGATGGTCCACAGTAGTCACAAGTGAAAGCATATGCAGCACCTCAGCGGCCATCTTCCTTCCAGTCTGTCCTCTGCCCAGGATCATTAGTACTCACATGACTGTGCTCTCTGAAGTCACCTTCTTGCTAGGTACATCTCTCTCTTGGACCCTCCAGGGAAGCAGTCTAACACAGGGATCGTTCAGCCTGGCCTAAAACTCCTTTTGCAAAGCGCCCTAGTCCCCACTACCATAAGGGACAGAGACTGCCACCGGCTCCTCCTGAGTGCAGACCTACTCCTCCCGGCTTCCTGATCTGTCCAGGGCCTATGTGTGCTGGTTACATCCACATGTGTGTGTTGCTGCCATGCCCCAAATGTGTGTGCGCTCCTCCCTACTTGGCTTATTTGGGTGCTGACGTACCCCTGATATCACTGCAGGAGGGCTCTGCCTAAAATGGGACTAGCCCCTGAGGACCCTGTCTACTGTAACCAGATGCTATTCTGTTACAGAGTCACCTAGTGGCAAAATAGCTAACTGCACTTTCCTATTGGCAGTTGCAGCTTAATAATTCTGTTTCATTGACACTGGGAGGGGGGGGGGGGGTTTAACCCTTTCCTGCCCCATCCTCTCCTATACACTCTATGCTGTTTCTAGTAACCTGGAGTTTAACCCCTCACCTCCCTTATTCTGCATAGCTAAACATTAACCCCTTCATCTCTATCCTGCCACTGTATGTGACCTGTACATAAACACTTTACTTCCTCCTTCCTCTGTGTATGACCTTTACATGTAACGTTTCTAGTGCACCATTACCAAGCTGTATGTTTAACCCTCTCAATACCAGCATGTTTCTTCTTTTCCAAGAATTTGTGTAAAAAATATCACCTTGTGGTGTATGCTTTCCCAAAAAGGGTAAATTCAGGGCTTCTCGTACTGTCCTGGCATGTGTTTTTTTTTTTTTTTTTTTTTTTTTTTTTTCATTTGTATAGTAAAAAATTAAAACCCCAGTGGTGATTAAATATCATCAATCGAAAGCTCTATCTGGCTCAAAAACAAAAAATAATCATTTGGGTACAATATTACATGAACAAGTAATTGTCAGTCAAACTATCACAGCACTTAAACCTGGCCAGCTCAGTGGATTGCTTTATAAAAGGCCTGGATTCTTTCCTAGTTATCCATAATATAACTGGATACTAACATTTATAGGTAAAGTTGATCCAGGGAATATCCGATTGCCTTCTGGGGGCAAATTGGATCATGCTTTGCTGTTTTTTTTTTTTTTGCCTTCCTCTGGATCATCTGTGGGTGTAGGATTATAACATTTCTTTTTTTAATGGTTGAACTGGATGGAGTTTTTTTTTGTCTTTTTTTTCAGCTAGACTAACGATGTAAACCTGAAAAATGGCCTGGTGGTCTATAAAGGGGTATTACAGGCTGGTAAAATACATTTTAACTTGTATTGTAAGTACAGTATTTGATTTATGATCAAACAATATATTTTAGTGATGCTGACACAGTAACTGGCAAATTTTAATGTTGTTCTGACTTTTGTACGGCTTTTAGTGGTAAACATGTTCATGTATGTAAATTTGTGGCAGGCGGCCATGATACTGCACACCATAGTCATTTATCATCATTCCTTTCCTGTGATTTCAGCAAGCGGACTTTATTGGCAAGCAGGCGCTGCAGCAAATTAAGGAAAAAGGGCTTCGAAGGAAGCTGGTGTATCTCACCTTGGAAACGGATAATGTTGATCCTGAGGGAAATGAAAGCATCTGGCACAGTGGGAAGGTGAGAAGAGTTTAATCATTGGAAGTGGATTGGAAATCTTTTCCTGCCACAGCGAGGAAACCTGAACTGAGAGCAGGATGAGCAGTCGCAGCATTTTATCAGATTACATGGCAGCTATATGTTAAAATACCAAACCGTTATTAGTATATCCATTCTCATATGGCATGCTGCACAGTACAAATGAGAGTTTCAATCTCACTGCATGTATGGTGAAAATCTCAAGATTTTGTTAACATTCTGCTATGTTGTTGAAATATAGTTAGTGGCAAAAGCCACATTAAGGTGGTTTCTTGTGTTTTTAAAGCTCAGTTCCAAGAATTAGACAAAACCCTTCCCTGAGGTATTCCCTACCCTCACTGCAGGGGTTCATGTCTCATTCAGTCTAGGGGTGCAGGGATGAGGTGTAATACTTACCTTACTACACGCTCCAGCAGGGTTCCTCCAGTGGTGCAGCTGGCCCTGCAAAGTCTCCCCTCTAAGGCACTCCTGCCTCCTACATGTGGGGTTGAAGTGGAACTAAAGACCCTAACAGAGTCCCTCGCTGGCGCTGGCATCTTCTGCCTGGGTGCTGGTCTTGGGGCATATCCATTAGCAGAAGTCAGTCATCCTGGCACACAGGGACTGTGCTGGTGATTTCAGCTGAGCTGCACATGCACAGCTCAGTTTACATGCTACAGAAGACTGCAAGCCAGCCAGCACGTGTATTTTATCGCATTGCATGTCTCTTTTGTGATAATAGCCTGCCTGCATGCAGTCTGTTGCATGCCTACAGTTCCGCTTTACTAGCCGTTCATTTTACATTATGATGATGGACTGCAAACAGCCTAGATCGCCAAGGGGAAAAAAGAGAGCTAGCCAGATCAGAGGTAAGGTAAGTGATTCCTTCTCTTCAGCTTCCCCTGGACCTAATGAGCATTTAACCTTTGCAATGTTGGGACCCTGCTGCAAGGATAGATTTTGTCTAATTCCTGGAGTTGGGATTTAAAAGTGCAGTGAGCTTTAAATGGTTGGTTCACTTTTACTAAAAAACTGCCTATGTTGGTAAGGGTCGCCATTTTAAATGCCTCCTGAAGCCTGGCCAAAAACTCCCAGAGACCACATCATCCCACCCTGCCTTGTTGCTAGCATGTTGCTAAGACCATGCTCACCCTCACCAGCACAGTAGCAAGCTCTCAAACCCCCACACATGTTTGATCCACTCCTTAGCTACATCACTGAGCTCGGAGCTACTACGACAGGAGAGAGAGCACATAGCTTGAAACCGCTGGGAGTGATTCTTATTAACATCCTAGCAATAGGGCAGGTTGGGATGATGCCATCTCCAGGCTTTGAGATGAACTAGGTGAACGTGAACTAACTCTTTAAAGCGATTGTTAACTTCGCTATTGAACTTGTACCTACAGATAAGGCTTACCTGTATGTACAGTGAATATCTCCAAAACGTGCGGTGTTTAGGAGATATTCACACAGGATGCTGCCAGTGATGTCACCGGTGCATGTGCTCTGATGGGACGACATATTCATGCCATCCCTTCAGAGATCTATGCTGTGGCCCTGACTCCCGTGTGCATGCACAGGAGTAACGTCATCACGGCTCAGCCATTCAAGCGGCCGCAGCCCGCAAACCCAGGAGGAAGACAGTGTGCCGCTGGAGGACTTTGTTTTACATAAGTGTGCCATAATGTGCTAGTATGCGATGCAAACTAGCACATTGTGGCTAAGTTAAAAACCACCCCCAGCCTACGTTGTTTTTTTTTTTTTTTTTTTTTATTTTAAGTTTGCTACCACTTTAAATGTCTTCTGAGGCGCCTTTCAACTGCCATAAACCTGTTGTGCCACAAAAACAGCCCTCATAATCATCATTAAATTACAGTGATAAAGCAACAGTACAAATATACCACATTATAAAAGGAAAATACAAAAAGGAAAATACACAAATACAAAGAACACCACATGAAACAAACTAACCTATTCCCCCCACACATCTAAATACAAAAAAAGGTGGCTTTTAAAAAAATCTCACCTAAGCAGTTTATTATTATTATTATACAGTTTTATATAGCGCCAACGGTTTGCTCAGCACTTTACATTATAGTGGGAGACAATACAGTAACAATACAAGAGGGATTTGAGGGCCCTGCTCCTTGGAGCTTACAATCTAGGAGGGAGTGGTGAATGGTACAATAGGTAATAACTGTGGGGGATGGAGTGGTTAGAAGAGTAGAGGATTCCAGTATTTGGAGAGGGCGGGATAGGCTTCCCTGAAGAGATAGGGTTTTTAGTGATCACCTAAAAGTAAGTAGAGTAGGCGATAGTCTGATAGATTGGGGTAGGGAGTTCCAGAGGATGGGTGACGCCCTGGAGAAGTCTTGGAGACGAGCATGGGAGGAGGGGATAAGGGAGCTAGAGAGGAGGTCTTGCGAGGAGCGGAGAGTACGGTTTGGGTGATATTTAGAGACAATATTGGTGATATAAAGCCATCCACAACACTGTCCCAATTTACATGTCATTGTTAGTGTTTTGAATTTTATCCGTTGGGCAACTGGGAGCCAGTGGAGGGATTGGCAGAGAGGGGTGGCAGATACAGAACGGTTAGTAAGGTGGATGAGTCTGGCAGCAGCGTTCATGATAGACCGGAGTGGGGATAGCCTGCGATGAGGTAGGCCAATGAGGAGGGAGTTAAAATAGTCAAGGCGTGATATGACAAGGGAGTTAATAAGTTGCTTAGTGGTTTCCCGGGTTTGGAACGGTCATATCTTGGAGATGTTGCGGAGGTGAAGTCTGCATGATTTTGTCAGCGATTGGATCTGGGGCTGGAAGGACAGATGGGAGTCTAGGATTACACCTAGTACCCTGGCATGAGAGGATGGACTGATGATTGTGTTATCGATATCTATGGTGAAGTCAGTGGAGGTGGCATGGGCTGGGGGGAATACTAAGAGCTCAGTTTTGGAAAGGTTGAGTTTGAGGGAGTGGAGTGACATCCAAGCCGCTATGTCACTTAGTAGGCTAGCGATGTGAGTGGAGACTGAAGGGGTGAGGGGAGGGGTAGACAGATTTGCGTGTCATCAGCATAGAGATGGTAATTGAAGCTGTGGGAGTTTATCAAGTGACTGAGGGGAGGAGGTGTAGATGGAGAAGAGAAGGGGTCCAAGGATAGTACCTTGAGGGACCCCTACAGAGAGAGGGAGTGAAAGAGCAGGTGGCAGCGTTATAGGCAACACTGAAGGAGCGCTGCGTTGGCTAGGAGGAGAACCAGGAGAGAGCGGAGTCTCTGAGGCCAAGAGTATAGTTTTTTGAGGAGGAGGGGATGTTCAACCGTGTCAAAAGCCACGGAGAGGTCGAGTAGTAGAAGTATTGAGAGTTTAGTGAGTGAAACTGAATGTTTCCAATTCGGCAAAATTTCACAGATGATGAAACTAGTAATTTTGTGACAAAATCAAGTTAACTGAAATTACCCATACAGTATCTATGCCTATGCAGCCCATATAGAGGGCGGTTTCTTGATAGAATCTGGAAGCAGGGGTGTAACTAGGGTTTCTTCAACACTATTAAACCAAACTGAATGGAGGCATAGTAAATGCTGTCCAGTAACCAAAAAAACCTATAGAAAAAGAACAGTGTGAACAGAGTGGTTACATAAAGGACAAGGCGTTACACCAAAATGTAATCATGTAATGCTTTTAATAGCAAAATTGCAGTATCAAACAGTTTAATAAAGACTGCATAATAGCCATCACCTCACCCAATGACCATGGGACAATACAACCTAAAACCAAAAATAAACAAGAGAAACATCATGGCTAGGCCAAAGTGCATAATATGCTGAATAGGCAATGACTATATAGTCTTCTGCCAAGACAGCAAACATATCGGGGTGCACCACTGGGATAAATAAATGTATATCAACCAGATAAACGGTTTCAGTGCAACAAGACCAAGTACATATGGTATGCTGGAACGGATGTAATCCGAATCTATCATAGGATGTAAATGGTCACAAACCCAGGTGTGGGAAAGGTCACTTGGTGTAACAGTTCCTGGTAATAGATGCAGGCAAGCAGAGTCAGTATACACAAATGTGTGTCAAAGTGGTGACAAAATAGGGCACTGGAATCAACCAGGATAAAACATGGCCACCTCGGCTGGTTGCTGAAATGGATGTGTGACTTCAAAATGGCATTCAGTGAGAATCATAAAGAAATCCTTATGGAATCTGTGAATGAGTATGGCATTGCGGTATCCTTGGTATGAAGTGCCGTGTCATCCAATTATGAGTGGAGTGTGCAACTCACCACCTGCTTGACAAGTAAAAAAATAGTCACCCTTCTTAGGATGGATAGTTCCTTGAGGGAAGTCAGTATGGCAGCTGTCGTGTCAGGACTCTTAATAGGTAGAGCCCTGCCTCCAGATAAGTGCGCCGTGTCATCCATGTGTGAGTGAAGTGTGCAACTCACCACCTGCTTGTCCAGTTGGAAGCAAAGTCACCTTCCTGGGATGGATAGTTCCGTGAGGAGAGTCCGTATGGCAGCCGTCATATCAAGACTCCTGTAGGTAGAGCCCTGCCTCCAGAAAAGTGCACCGTCCATCCATGGTCTGCACTGGAAAGTAGTGTGACTCCTCGTGTCACCACCCGGGACAAGGTACGTGGATCCGATGTGTGCGACCAGCTATGTTGTCACTAATGTGTGACATCAACGCGTTACGCCGATGGGCATATCTTACTCAGTTTCATCAGGACACCTCTTCTGATCAGCAAGGATGGTTGGTAAGAGGTGACACTGAGTGTGTTGCCAATTAAGTGACCTGTTACAGATCTTCACAGATTTGAACTGGGGAGGCGATGGGGGAAGATTGTCACTAGTAGAGTATAAACTAATTGGAAAACTGCTGACGTTAGTTACAGTGAACCTTGGCTTTTAGTAATGTATGAGTCTGCATAAATACATTCCTGACAAATCACATTATATAGCAAAAGTAACCTGTTTTAAGAACAGCTGTACCTTCAGCATTAAAAGCCATCCTTGTGTTCCAGTCCAGTGACTGTCCCTGAGTTGAGGTCATCAGTCTGCTGTAAGTAGGAGGAAGCATTTCCTTCGTCTCATTGCCACTAGTGATCAAGACTGCAGCACTGGAACTTTGTAGCAGGTTACAAGGGAAGACTACAACAGGGGATGATCTCTGTCAGATATAGATCACAACCAAGAAAGGCACAGGTACCAGGTAACATAATGGTATATCTGAGCAAAGAACTTAATCCAGGAAGTAGATGTTGACCATGCATGATAACTGAGCAAAGATGGCTCCTCACACTGTAATGGGAAGCAAGTACTGTGATCTCTGCTAGAGGTAATAATTACCTAGAAGGGTCACACTTACACATTACCTAGCATTCTATTCTTTAATGAAAGAAAATCTGTTCCGCTTATAATATATATATATATATATATATATATATATATATATACACACACACACTATATTGCCAAAAGTATTAGGACACCTGCCTTTACATGCACATGAACTTTAATGGCATCCCAGTCTTAGTCTGTAGGGTTCAATATTGAGTTGGCCCACCCTTTGCAGCTATAACAGCTTCAACTCTACTGGGAAGGCTGTCCGCAAGGTTTAGGAGTGTGTCTATGGGAATGTTGACCATTCTTCTAGAAGCACATTTGTGAGGTCAGGTACTGATGTCAGACGCGAAGGCCTGGCTCACAGTCTCCGCTCTAATTCATCCCAAAGGTGTTCTGTCGGGTTGAGGTCAGGACTCTGTGTAGGCCAGTCAAGTTCTTCCACCCCAAACACGTTCAGCCATGTCTTTATGGACCTTGCTTTGTGCACTGGTGCGCAGTGATTTTAGAACAGGAAGGGGCCAACCCCAAAATGTTCCCACAAAGTTGGGAGCATGAAATTGTCCAAAATGTCTTTGGTATGCTGATAATTTAAGAGTTCCCTTCACTGGAACAAAGGGGCCAAGCCCAACCCCTGAAAAAAAACAACCCCACACCATAATCCCCCCTCCACCAAACTTTACACTTGGCACAATGCAGTGAGGCAAGTACCGTTCTCCTGACAACTGCCAAACCTAGGCACGTCCATTGGATTGCCAGACAGTGAAGCAGAATTTGTCACTCCAGAGGACATGTCTCCACTGCTCTAGAGTCCAGTGGCAGCATGCTTTACACCACTGCATCCAACCCTTTCCATCGTACTTGGTGATGTAGGGCTTGGATGCAGCTGCTCGGCCATGGAAACCCATTCCATGAAGCTCTCTATGCACTGGTGTGCTAATCTGAAGGTGACACGAAGTTTGGAGGTCTTTAGCTATTAACTGCAGCCAGTTGGCGGCTTCTGTGCACTTTGCTCTTCAGCATGCGCTGACCTCGCTCTGTCATTTTACATGGATGTTGTTCCCAGTTGCTTCCACTCTTTTATAATATCACTAACAGTTGACAGTGGAATATTTAGTAGCAAGGAAATTTCGCAGATGGACTTATTGCACAGGTGGCAACCTATCACGGTACCACGTTTGAATTTCACAAATGTTTGTAGAAGCAGTCTGCATGCTTAGGTTCTAGATTTTATACACCTGTGGCCATGGATGTGATTGGAACGCTTGGATCCAATGATTTGGAAGGGTGTCCCAATACTTTTTTGGAAATATAGTGTATATATACGCATAACAGATAATAGCAATATTTTGTTGCCATTTTGAAGAACTAAGCAGCTAAGAGGAAGTATTCTAATCTTTCAAACATGCAATGGAACATTCACAAAATAAGGTCACTGGAACAATCCATATAGCAGTGAATCACAGTCAGATGACAGAATAATAATTCATCCACGAAAACTGTATTTTTATTAATTACTAGCTGCCCAGGCCAAATTATTTTAATTTGGCCTGGGCAGCTAGGTACCAAATATCTATTGCCGTGAAAGTGTTAATGTGTATCTTCCGGTCTGGTGATTTCATATAAATGAGTACATTTACTTTTTTTTTTTGGAAAATTAAATATCAGAGGCAGAAAAATATTATATGTACTACACATTACTATGAATCACAGAGGTAACCCCAACGTCTGCTTAGCTCTGGTAAATGCGGTTCATACTGTGGAACCAGCTACTAGCTAAGGATTCATTGGTAAAGTAATTAAAGATGATTAGCTGACTTTAGATGTACAAATCTGGGCAGTCTAGAAACTTCAAAGGGTGCATTAAGGGACAGAAGGAAATTTAAATTGTTCAAAACCACTTCATGATCAGAGTGAAAATTGAATAACATTCATCAAATGCTACTTGTATTAACTAACCGATATGGATTTGTCAAGCATGGATTTAATCGCATAAATAAATTCTTACTTTTCAGGTTGTTGGTAACACTACATCAGGGACCTACAGCTACAGCTCCAACAAAAGCTTGGCTTTTGCCTATGTGCCTACAGAGCTCAGTACAGCAGGACAGAAACTCGAAGTGGAACTTCTAGGAAAGCATTACCCTGCCACAATAATCCAGGAGCCCCTTGTGTTCACCGAGCCCACCAGGAACCGCATTCAGCAAAAAAGTGGCAGTCCAAGAAACAAGTGATATATCTGAGCCTGTGAACACTCATATGTATAGTTCATTTACCTCTCCCCATGCTTTTCAGGATGGTATTGCTCTGGATACAGGAGATATGGCTAGTAATTTGTGTTACCTTTCTTTATGCTGTTACTGTAGATCAGCCTTTCTCAACCAGGGCTCTGTGAAAACCTTAGGGTTCCTTCAGAGGTTGCTAGGGGTTCCTTGAGCTATGAGCAATTTATGCCTCTCAGATAAGTTCCCACTGATACCAATTATCGTTTATGCTATCAGTAAGAGGGGATCCTTCTTCCTAACCACAATTGTAAAGCACATTCTTCTCACTATCAATCACACTAATATACTTTGAGTTTAGATATAGTAATTATTAACGGGTTCCCTGAGACCAGAAAGTTATTTCAAGGGTTCCTCTGTGTTCAAAGTTTAAGAAAAGCTTCTTTAGGGTGACTGAAGAACTGGGAAAGCTGAGTTAGCAAAAATAGCAGCCTGGAGATAATGAATCTATCAATCCAATCCTCGCCTTGGTTATTGAAACAATAGCCAGCCTGCCTGACCTTTACCCAAGCAGTGTTCAGTCACACCCGGTCCTTCAACCACATGCAAACTACACAAATCCAATCATAAAACCTATCCTTTTCTGCCTATAAAATCAGGTCAATGTGTGTATGTTTGTAACTGCTAGTTTTCCAGTCCTTAGATGTGGTGGCTGCATTTGTTTTATTTTTTCAGGCATTCTCCTTTCTTTTCACCTTGTAAGCCTGCAACAAGCATACACCTTTCCTAATGTGACAACTTTCACCCAGTCCACTGTATCCATGGGAGTTGTTTGGCTTTTCTCATTTGGATTACAAACCTTTCTTCCTCTCTTCATCTCCTTAACATAGGGTGGGAAAAATGTAGTTTATAGAGAATAGCTTGGAAGGAAGATAATATTGTTTGCGCTTGGAGTACAACACACGGGAAGTTACAGTGCTCTGTATTTCTGGGATAAACAGTTATTCTCAGTACTTGCCAAAATGTTCTTTGCTTTGGAAATGAAAAAAAAAAGTTGCCACACCTAAGGACTGGTAAGCCGCAATATATTACTTTTTGGTCGTTTGTTCGCAGATTTAAAGTGTAACTCTACCATACACTTCTATTTGTCTAAATAAAGCGGAGCGTTAGTTTCCCTGTCAAGGTTTTTTAATTCCCGTGTGTAATTTTGCTGGGGAGAATTCCCCTTCTCTGTTCATAAAGGACAAAAAGTTCAAAGAATGTTCCAATGGTAACAAAGAGAACAATTAAAGCTTCTAACTACTGTACCAAAAGTGGATTTTATTGCTGGTGTGTCCAGGTTAAAGACTTATCCCCTCACTTCTTGTTGTCAACAACTTAAACGCTATTCAGATAACAAAAAAAAAAAAACCAGCAGGGGTTCTAATCCTTTTCCCTCCTATCCAAAACTAAAAAAAAAAGTGTCTGCTGGAATTCTACTTTTATATCTATCGTTTATATCAGTTTCTTAGTCGGTTAATTTCATCTCCTGTTCCAACCCCATAAATTGGTGAGGACATTAATTCATATTAAAGCAAATACCAGAAAATGAATGTACGTAATGCGTTGTAAATAGGTATGTTACTGAATAAATTAAAAAATAAATGTAAGCTATGTATAGTTCAGTTGTGTTTTCACGTTGTTTATATTGTTATGCTTTGAACACTGAAAACTCCATCCGCCAAGTATGATGATGGTGATGAAATGATGACGAGAGACTAAAGAGCTCTAGTGCCCGGGAAATGGTACCTTTAAAGCAAAACTCTGGGCAAAAGCTTTTTTACATGTCCTCATTGCTTTTTTCCTGCCTTCACTAAATATGTCATCCATCCTCTGGATCACTCAGTAGTTGCTCTGAAATAGTCAATTCATTTTAAAATCAGATTGTTAATTCTCTTTGGTTTCCTGTTTGTAAGACCAGTGGATGCTATGCCTCCTATTCCCCCAGCCAGTGGTCTTGGCACATCCCTCCTGTAGTTATTTCTGCAGGAAGCAGTGATGTAATTCAGCCCCACTTGCAGTGGTGGGCAGACTGAGACTCTGATATATTCAACATGTACCCACCACATTGACTATAATTCACTGTGGTTGATGGGAACGGTAGTTATCTTTTACTGCAGAGAGAGAGAGGAGAGGATATAATGTAATCCCTGTTGTTACACCTCCTCCTTTGGCAGAGCAGATGCTGTTATCTTTTGAATTTCAGAGAAGAGGTCAGGAAAATTCAAATAGATTTTTTTAAGCTCTCTTGTGCATTGCTCACACTCAAAAGTAGCAGCAGGTGCCATAAAAAAGTGAACACACACAAGTAAAGCGCACAAAAAATTACACAGGGTGTACATATGGTCCTCCTCCAAAGGGAAAGGATCCTGACCCTGACCACTAAGGTACAAGGCTTCTGATGGGGACTGGGGTACTCGTCGTCCACCTGGCCAAAACCAGACAGGCCCCGTTTTTCAGGGGACCTGTCAAAGGCAAGGTCCACCCAAGAACTAGGTGGGGTTTCCCTGAAGGGAGACCCCATGTGAGGGGGAGTACTTGACCATAAGGCCACATGCCCCACTCTTGGACAACCACTCAGGGGGCACAAGTACCATGGGCTTTTCTCGAGCTTGTATCATTCATACCATACTTTTATACCAACACACACAGTTGCTTAAAGAATTTAAGAGAGAGAGTCTCTTTAACAACTTGAGCTCCAGAGGATTTACCCCCCTTAATGACCAGGCCTCTTTTTGCTACTCGGCGCTGCACTAATTCAGCTGATAATTGCGCGGTCATGCAATGCTGCACCCAAACGAAATTTACGTCATTTTTTCACACAAATAGAGCTTTCTTTCGGTGGTATTTGATCACCTGTGCGCTTTTTATTTTTCACGCTATAAACAAAAAAAGGCCAAAAATTTTTAAGAAAAACAATATTTTTTTACTTTCAGCTATAAAAAATATATAGTAAACTCAAAGTTGGTTATAAATTTAGGCCAAAATGTATTCTGCTCCATGTTTTTGGTAAAAAAAAATCCCAATGAGTGTATATTGAGTGCTTTGTGTGGAGGTTAGAGCGTCTACAAACTATGGTATAAATACTGCAATTTACGCCATTTTTCTGCTATACAGCGCTAGATTAACGGACAATTGCGGTCATGCAATATGGTACATAAATGAAATTTATCGTTTTTTCCCCCCAAATTTATCTTTCTTTCGGTGGTATTTGATCGCCTGTGCGGTTTTTATTTTTTGCGCTATAAAAAAAAAGGCTGACAATTTTGAGGATAAAAAACCTATATTTTGGACTTTTTGCTATAAAACATGTCCAGTAAAAAAAAATGCAAAAATCAAATTTAGTCATAAATTTCTGCCAAAATGCATTCTGCGACATGTCTTTGCTAAAAAAAAAAAAACCCAATACGTGTAAATTAATTGGTTTACGTGAAAGTTATAGCGTTTACAAATGGCGGGAAAGATACTGGGATTTTTAGTTTTGTTTTTCTTTTATACTAATAATGGCGGCGATCAGCGACTTATGGCAGCGACCAGCGACTTATGGCAGGACTGCGGGACTGCGGCGGACATTCTGACATCCCCAAAAACACTAATACAGTGATCAGTGCAAAAAAAAAAAAAAACACTGACACTGTACTAATGGCAATGGGGAGGAAGGGGTTAACTTTATTTTGCAGGGAAGGGTTATAGGAGTGAGGAGTGTTTTACTAGGGGGCGGGGGTGTGTGCTGACGGGACAAGGCTGATCAAGAAGGAGAAACTCTTCTTCCTCGAGCTGACAGGGAAGTGACAGACGGCACAGCTGAAGTAGCTGTCACTGTTTGCCGCCGATCACCGGGACATAGCCGCTAAGGACCGGCTGTGACCCGGCGACTCACATCTGCGGCGGTGATCGGCGGGACAGATAGGGTGGCGCCCCGCCTCGCGCGTGCCCCCTATTTGTTTACAAAACACACGTTTTAAAATGTGGTTTTGCCTGCCAGTGCCGCCCTGCCGCCGTATATCTACAGTGGCTGGGCGGCAAGTGGTTAAAGCCCACACCCAAGCCACATATACCCACCTTCTCTGTGCTTCCTCACTGCTCTATTGCTCTGCAGTCCTAACCTGTAAGTTCCATGCCTGATGGTGTTAGAGCTTACACAGAGTTGATATGATGTCACCCCCCCCCCCCGTCACATGATGGTATACAGGTCTAGCAATGGGCTACTCAGGCTTGAGCTTTGCTTCATGAGAAGAGGTCTCATGCTTCCTCCGTGCCTAGAAGGGACAGTATGTCAGTTTCAGCTAGTACCCGCACTAACATTCCGTGTGCTGTTAGGTAATAAAACCGCAAAAATAAAATTATTCTAAACATACAAAAGACCCCTTATGTGGTAAAAATTGATTTGTGCAGCAATCGTTTGGTCTGGGTGGCTTGTGTTGTTGATAAAGCTGGCTATGTGACCTCTTCCTTTTGTCTGTTCAACAAATGCCAAAAAACATTAAAGTGTACAATATGTAGAAAGTAATAGTCACAGCAAAATAGATCACAACTTGTCTGCACTATCCAAACTGAGAAAATAAAACTTTGGATGTAGTTCAGCTTTAATGAGTACAGACCTATAAAATAATTCCTCTTTGTCTTCAAATAGTACATTCAGGTTCGATTAATGTTTGTTTACAAATTAAAACTGTGCATATTCAATCCTTTGATACAATCAAACTATTGCTATTTGATATTCGTTTAGGCTGTCTTCCTGTGCAGCTTGTACTTGTCAAGGTCCTTGTGACTGGTAGCACTGAGGAAACAAATGCATTTATTATTAGCCTAAACTATACATAACAGCCATATATATATATATATATATGTGTGTGTGTGTGTGTGTGTGTGTGTGTATATATACATACACACTGCTCCAAAAAATTAAAGGAACACTTTGAAAACACATAAGATTTCAATAGAGAAAAATATCATGCAGGATATCTATACTG